AGGAAGGAAGAGTGGGGACGGGTCAGTACTGTCCCCATAAACAACCTTCTCACAAATTCTAGTCAGGGATCTACAGGAGCTGCATTAATTAGTTTCAAGGACAGTGCCCCACCCACAGAAGTAGCAATCATACACTAGGGCCCACCTTTTTTGTTCCTTACTGCCTTTTTCTATTCTTCTCTTTATTTATTTTTGAGAATTTCATACATGAGTATCATGTTTACATTATTTCTATCCCTCCCCGTCCTCCTCCAACTCCTCTCATGTTCTCCCACTCCCACTCCCACCCCACCCCCTCTCAATTTCTTGACCTCTTCTTTGATTATTATTGTTACACATACATCCGTTTATAAATACGTATGCATATATTTAATACACTGAGTCCATTTAGTGGTGCTCATGTGTACCTGTGTTTAGGGCTGCCACTTGGAATTAGGTAACCTCTCAGGGAGCTAGTCCATGGAGAAAACTGATTCCCCTCCCCAGCATTCATTGATTGCCTATAGTTGTTTGTCTTGAGTTGGAACCCTGTGGAACTTTCCCCATCTACCTTAGCATGTCAACAGGTTTTGTCATTATGACGGTCTTATTGGGCTAACATACTATGCAGATTTCTCTGGTGCAGTTTCCCTATCATGTTTAGAATGCATTGACTAGCCATAGGTGTTTTGTCCTTCTGGCTCTTACATTCTTTCAACTCCCCCACCCCCACTTCTGCAGTATTCCCTGGGCATTGGGTGTAGAGGTTGCATTGTAGATGTGTCACCTAGGGCTGGGCACCTCACAGTCACTCATTCTCTGTGTTTGATAGTTGGGACTCATCTTTTAAAAAGTTTCACCACCAATTAGGACAACAATTAGAATGAAGCTTCTAACACATGAACTCTTAGGAACCATACTAAAACCCCATCTAAACTATAGCACGTTGTATCTTATATGTATCTATAAATACATGTCGTTTAAAAGTATATGCATGTATGCAAACAGTAGTCTATTTGAGGCCCTATCTTGTTTGAACTTTTAAAAGAATCCTAGGAAAGAAAACATCAGGTAAAGTTGGTGATTTTATTTTCCTTTCGTTTTGCCTATATAGTTCATACACTAGGCAAATCAATAAGTCATAGACAAAAATTATATTTAATGTTATGAAGATTTACTTTTTAGAATTTTTTGACCAACCTCTCTTCCTCTGAATCAGAGCATTGGTACTCTGTAAACACAGAATGATGCTGCATGTGTAAACAGTTTCTAGAGAAGACAGGTGTAATAATTTCCTCCATAAATACCCTGCAAAGTCCAAAGAGTTATTCTGTGGGCTGCTGGACATGTGCTTGTCTCTCAAGTACTTCACCCATGATAGTATCATTTTATTTATTGTCTTTTGATATTGAGACTTTCACACGCTAAGCACATGCTCTACCACTGAGATATGTAGCCCTAGGTATGTGATACTACTTTTTGTATATTAGCTTTATATTTACTTTGTTCCAGACATCCCACCTACAAATTTTCACTATCTTAGAAAATGCATTTACTTTGATAAGTATCAGTTTTCTATGTATCTATCCTTTTTCTTTCTTTCTTTTTTACCCTGTACTGAGGTTTTTATTGAATGCTACATCCCCTAAACTAATGTGAAGAGTGACACATAGCTGTCAGTCTGTATATAGAGTGAAACAGATGAGCACTAAGAATTCAAAACAACAAAACTCATGAACTAAACAGCTGAGGACAGGTGATTAGAAAACAAATAGCACACAAGAAAAAAGCCTCCCTTTTTCTGCTCACAGAGCACTTTGGTGATGTTTATAATACTAGTCTTAATCACATCAAATTAGAATCCTTTATTTAACTCTGTGTTGTAATTCTGAGTATAAGAATCACATATCATTGATCTTTGCATCTACCTACCACTCTGCCTGGCACATTGCAAACTCTCTGTGAATGATTGCTGATTAATTGTCATCTTTCTTTACTTGTCTGCAACATTTAAAATTACTGACCATGGGGCACAAGGATATAGTTCTGTGGTAGAGCCCTTGCCTAGCATACATGAAGCCTTCCTCAGCATTTCCTTAGTTCTGTAAAAATAATTTTTAAGCATCTGTTTTAATTGACCAGGGCCTACTTGAAACATACTCCCTCCTTGTTTTCTGCTACTAGACTATCTTGCTTTTTCTTTATCCTACTAATAAGTGATTTTAAGTTTCTGGGGGGTTTTTTGTTTTTTGTTTTTTTTTTTTTTGGTTTTGCCAGGTTTTCTTCCCTGCAACTACCCTTTCAGCATTTTTCTTTCTTTTTTTTTTTTTAATTTTTGAGGATTTCATACAATCTATTTTTAGCATATTCAGACCTTTTTCCCTGTCTGCACCCATACTATATTCTGTCTAATTTCATCTATTCTATTAAATATGTGTGTATGTATATAGCTATAGATATAGATGCAAATATTTAAGGCAAGGCTATTTAATCTAATTTGTGTCCACAAATACTCTTCAGTGTTGGTTCATTCACAGGAGGCTAGTCAACCTACCTAATGTTATACCCTTAAAAAAACTGACTCTTCCTCTCCCAGCAGCTCTCAGTTACCAATATTTTCTCAGCTAGGATTGGGGCTTCTTACTCACTTTCCCATCTCTATGCTGGGAGTTTGTCTGGCTTGATCTTATGTGGGTCTTGTGTGTTCTGTTACCATTGCTATAAGTTCATATGAGTATTTTCCCAGCTATCTGAAAAACACTGTTTCCTTGTGATCATCCACCTCCTGTGGCTCCTACAGTCATTCTTCCTCCTCTTACACATGATTCCTGAGACTTGGGAGACAGAAGTTTGATACATGCATCCTGGGGCTAAGCATTCTGGACTCTCTTATTCTCTGCACGTTTATCAGTTGTGGGTCTCTGCTATTTCTGCATGAGGAGACTTCTCTGGCGAGAGTTGAGCGATGCATTGATCTATGGGTATAACAATAAGTCATTATGAGTTGGTTTAATACTATAGTGTCCATTTAGCAGAATAATAGTAGTAAGTTCTCTCCTATGGTCTATGACCTGTCCAGGTCTTAAAGTTCTATATTTACTCAGCTTCAATATTCTGTTCCTATAAGCCATCAGAGTGTCCTCTGGGCTGATTTATCATATGTGGTGTTTGCTGGCAAATTTGTATCTTTTCATTTTGCTTCCTTTCTGCCTCTACATGATATAAGATCTAATTACCACCCAGCATGAGGCAGCAGTGAAGTGGAAAAGGCAGCAAGATAAGGTCAGAGACCTGATCAGCTGCAAAGAGAAGGAACCCACATCTTTAAAGCATCTTGTATTTTAAAGATTTTCCCTTCCTGATATGAGACAGAAAGGGAATTTGTGCAGTCTTTATGAAAGCAAGTACTTTTAATTTGCAATAGTAGTCTTTGATGCTTCTCTGAATTGTACAAAGTATTTTCATCATTAGGGTTACTCAAAGTAGTTCATTCTATTTTGTTGACATTGAAATACAGATAAATCAAACATTTCCAGGAATGAAATGAAATCAAGGTAATAATTGGTCACTTTCAATAAGATGTAGAATTTTATGTAGTTTTGGGCTTTTGTTTTTCAAATCTAAAAACATTTCTTAAGTTTATATTTAAAACATAAGGCACTGTATTGTAGCTTGTAGGCTCTTTGTGGCATGAATGAGTGGGTACTTAGCCTAGTGCATGTTTGTATGTGTATGAGGGGGACTTAATACTCTTTAAATGACTGTGGTCTGAGTTTTTATTTAACATATTGTCAACGATTTTAAAATTAGAAGACACATGGCAGTGGGCAGATGTAAGAAATACTTGCTTCATTCTTGTTTGAAATGTCTTTGGTATAGCAGCTATTGAGGGAAGATGTCTTATCAAAACTGAAAGTGCAGCCGGGCAAGGTGGTACATGCCTGTAATCCTAGTGTTTGGGAACTGGAGGCAGGAGGACCAGGAGGGGCTGGAGAGATGGCTCAGCAGTTAAGAACCCTTCCTACTCTTCCAATTCCCAGCATCCATGTCCGGTGGCTCACAACTGCCTGTAAATCCAGCTCCATAGGATCTGACACAATCTTCTGGCCTCTGTAGGCACCAGCACACATGTGCTATATTTTGACATAAACATATATATATATATAATTAAGTGACAAGAACTAAAACTGGGCTCAGTGCATTATGCATGTACATTTATAAACGTATGTATGGGAGGGGTTTGAAGTGGGACTGGGAGGGGTGGAAATATAATACTTGTACATTTTTCCAAAAAATTATTTTAAAAATATTTTAAAATTTAAATTTAAATGCATAGGTATAAAATATTCCTGTGAAACAGAAAAAACATGAAAGATTGTTAATAAGTTAATATTGAACAAATTATGATAGATCTGTTTTCAGATGTATTATAACTACTTCAAAAGAATAATACACAGCAGCATGTCTTGTTAAGGAACAATCTGCTACTGATCCTACTAAATGAGAGAAACATTGTATGGGAATGTGTATATACAAGTTTCTTATCTCTCCGTCCTATCATATAAACACATATAGATATTCTCATTCTCTTTCTCTTTGTAGATGGACACATTAAAGAACATTATTGAATTGTTGATAGCACTTATCCTAGGGAAAGTACTGTAGATCTGAAAGGGGACATATTTTTATTGTATTTATTTATTGTGTGTGTGTAGGTATGTATGTGCATGCACATGCCACGGCACCCATGTGGAGGTCAGAGGACTAGTTGCTGGGGTTGGTTCTCTTCTTCCACTATGTGGGTTCTAGAGATCAGATTCAGGCCATCATGTTTGGAGGCAAATGCCTTTACTTGCTATGCCAGTTAAGCTCCTGCCCTCCGCCCTGCACCTCTTTGGGAAGGAGAGTTTTTTTAGGTACACTTCTATACCCTTTTAATTTTCCATGTATATATGTTACTTTCTGTAATTGAAAAGAAACTTTTACATGAATAACCAAGTCTGGTTTTTCCTCCGTTTTAGGATTCAGCTCAGGAGAGTGTCATTACTCGAGATATTCATCGCACATTTCCTGCACATGATTACTTCAAAGACACTGGAGGAGATGGTCAAGAGTCACTCTACAAGATCTGCAAGGTAAAGAGGGCTCTGGCCTTTAGTTTTTCTAATTTGTTGTGCAGGACTGTATTTTAGTAACCTGTCATAAAGGTTTTTAGATTTTCTTTCTGTCTCCATGTCATATTCATACTATGTTACAGTCTCTGCTTTATACATATGCCACCACATCCTCCACACTGAGCATGCAAGGTGACCTTTCTGTTGCTTGTTCTGAATGAGGCACAGCGTAGCCTCAGTTTGGCTTACCTGTTAGCAGGAAAAGAGCAGAAGAGCCTCTCAGACTATGCTGTACAGGCTCAGACACCATGTGAGAATTGCCTTTACTTTTTGACAATGGGCAAGTGTGAGAATCAGTGTGGGGTCCCTTGTTGAGCACTGGCAAGTTCTGTGATTTGTATCACATCATATTTCTTTGTGTGGTTCTTCTCATTTTGAAATCCTTCTTGTCATTGGTAGACCTTGGGGCTGGAGGTGGGGTAGGGTGGGGTGGTTAGGAGCCTGCTTCTGGGTTTGTAGGAAATGTACTCTGCTTAGACACAAAAGATTCTCTGTCATTGGAGAGGGGCCAGTAAGTTATGAAGTTCTCAGTTTAAATCAGAAATGCAGAAAGGGGTGTGGGCATGCTCATACTGTTGTCACCTGCCATTCCTGTAGAAATAGTTAATGAACAGTCAGCTACACCAAAATCTGAGCACAATGCAGAGAAAAGGCAAACACCATGGCCAATTTGTAAGTTAGATAATCAATGCCTGAATGATCAAATTTAGCATTTCTAGGGAGTAGCACAGATTTGCCAGTAGGCATTCTGAAGTATTCACAAATCTGTTTCATTTTATATTTACTTAAGTACCCACAAAAGCACGTGCATACATTACTCAAGAGTTGTTTAAATTTGGAAATGGCACATTTTTTATTAAAATGCTTCTTGCTTGTTGGGGTTATGGCCCTCTTCTTCCTTTTCCTTTCCTTCCCTCTTTCACCTCCCTCCCTCTCTCCTTCCCTCTAATCTAACTATTTTGGAGTATTATATAATGATCAGAAATCTATTTTGGGAAGACTGCTTAAGCATGCACTGGGCTCTGGCTTTGATCTTGACCACTGCATTAAAAAAAATAAAAGTATGCAAATAAATAAATATTTTTACATAAGTCTTTCTTTTAGAGCAAGAAATACATAAATAACTTAAAATCTGAGTGTATACTAATCTCTGGAAAATGATGCATCATCTAGTTTAAAAATTACCAAATATATTGGATGCCTCAAAAAATATAATATATTCATTATATGCTTATAAAAGGGTAAGAGTAATTGCTAAGGTTTTTTTTTGCACCAGATTAAAAATTCTATAAGCTAATTAATTTCTGATTTATGCCAAAATATAAGAACCATATAAATTTTCTAAGTTCTTTAGAAGGATCTGATTGTGGCTTGTGGAGCAGCATTTCCTTGAGTATTTAGTTAGTTTTCAGCCAGTCAATGGCTGTCTCTTCAGTTTTTCTCTGTTGGTGCTGCTTTCTTCAGATGACTAAAGCATATGCTTCTGTGCTCTTTCCGTTCTTGCTTACTGTCTGGATCCATTGTAGTAAAAATACTACTTGCCTTATTATACAATATTTAAAGTGGAAATCTGTGAAAATGACAGAATGCAAAGATAAAGACTCACTAATTAGTACCTTTGGTAGTAGTATCCTTTGCTTTGGTGGTGTGATAATTAGCTAAACTTGTGTTCATTAAAGAATAATAGTATAGTGTACCTGTACAGATCACTAGTCATCTAGATTTTCAGTGTACATTATACAGCATGACTAGAGAATTTAAAGGCTCTTTCTGAGTTAAGAATATTACAAAATATGTGTTTAAGATAATTATTAACATGTACTGTAAAGTGTACTGTTTTGAATATGAGGAAAGCAAAATCAAATTCGAGAGAGTAAACAAAAATTATTGTGGGCTTTAATATTTTATTAATTTTACAGCAGTCTTTGATAAAAGAGGCTTATAGAGATGTATGTATGTAAGAGCAAATGTTGTAGAACCTAAAATTTGTTGCGGTTCTGCTATGTGGGCCAGTTGGTTGACCCAGTTTCTTTTCCTTTTGACTTGCTGCTATGTAGTAGTCTGGTGCTCATGCCAGGAAACCTTAGTTGGTAATATAATCCACAAAAAAGTTATGCATGGTTATATGTAATATAGCACTAAATAACTTCACAAGTGTCTATCTCCACTTATGCTTTTAAAAAAGCAATTCACACCAGGTGTGGTGGCTTACTCCTTTAATCCCAGCACTCGGGAGGCAGAGGCAGGCAGATCCTCTGTGAGTTTGAGGCCAGCCTGTTCTACAGAGTGAGTTCCAGGCAACTGGAGCTACAGGGAGACCCTGTCTCAAAAAAAAAAAACAAAGAAAAAAAACAAAAAAGCAATTTACTTTGTGTGTGTGTGTGTGTGTGTGTGTGCACATGCTGCGTGTGTACATGTGGAGGTCAAATGACAACTTATAGGAGTTAGTTCTCCCCTTTACCATGTGAATCCCAGGGATTAAACTCAGATTGTCAGGCTTGGCAGCAAGTGCCCTTAACTGCTAAGCCATCTTGCCAGCCCTTCTTTCCTTTTGGAACCAGTGAGAACACTGTCCTTTTATGACTATCATCACATCTCTGTATAAGTTGTTTTATGTAAACTAATGGTCACTGGGCATAATTTGCTTCTTTTTTATTTCTTTTATTCATAGAATAATATTCAGCATGACATTCCACATTCAGCAATATGCCTTTGAATTTACTTTCTTGATGTCTTGTACAATGCTGATTAACATTAATGATTTCTTTGCTCTAAATCAGCTACTTTCTTATATAATCTTTAAATAGGATAATTTTTACTTTTTCTTTACAAATTCTTCTTTTTCTTCTCTTTTTGACCTTTCGACCACCTTCAGTTAACTGTTAAAATGAGACAGTGATAAAAGATATCCTTATATTGCTTCTGACTTGAAATAAAATATATGTAGTGATTTATCACTTAGCCTTGTTTATCTTAGTCACATGGACCACATAATTATAGATCTTTAACAAAAATATAGCATGTTTCATGTATTAATATTATAATAGCTTCACATTTTCAGAGTGTATTCACATTTTGTCACCTCATTTCTTTCTGACAATTCCTCATCAGTAGAGCTTTACTAGAGATATAATATGCCCTGCCTTTAAATTCAGCAGGATTTACTAGGAACATTTTAATTATTCTAATTTTAGAAACTAGCCCATTTCAAGGGCACAGCAATCTGACTTTGTAGTTGAGAAGTTTTCTGTGACTCTGCTGAATTGAGAAATGATCTGAACTGTCAGATTAGAGGAAGACTACTAGAAACTTATTGTCAGGTTTTAATGGTCCCTGTCAATTCAGTTTCACATCTTAATATCTCTTTCAGAATAAGAGGAAATCAAAATGGTTCAAAGCTTCATCTGTTGTCATAAATTTATATGGAGAGTTGTGGTGAAGTTTTAACAGTAGAATATATAGGTTTCTGTAGATGAAAACATTTAGTCCTTTCCTTTTTCTCCACTGTCTTTTTTTCTTAGTTAGGTCAGTATCATATTTTCAGAATTTCCTTGAGAATATACAGAATATTCTACAACTCAGGTATCTTTGGCCATTTTCTAATTTATATATGATGTAAAATGTGTTTTAAGTTGTGAGACAACTTGGTGTAGTTTAAAGTACTGGACATCAGGAGACCTGGCTCTGGTTTTGAGTCTTAGCCCCAAAAATGGCAGGTCTAAGACTGGAAAATAACACGTTAAAACCAGAAAAATAGCTTTAAAAAATTTCCTCCTCAGCAAAGGTGAGGCATCTCGGAAAACCATTCTACTTCTAATTTTCTGTGATTCTAACTGTTGTTTTTATTTTTTTTCCTTCTAAAACATGTCAGATAAATGCAGAATTTAAGAGTTAAGCTCTAGTGTGTGGATTTCACTGACTTTCTGTATGGTGTTTGGGTCTGTCTGCTCCACCTAATAGAGTTCATGTAGATTTACTTTTAGATATACGTCTCTTTATAAGACTTAAGACCAGTTGGTCATAATAATTAACTAAAGCATTATTCACAAATAGTATAGATTGAAGTGACTTTGTGCATAGTGTTTTTTTTCTTAAATACATTTTATTTATTATTTTTATTTTGTGTGTATGAGTGTATTGCCTGCATGTAAGTGAGTGCACCTGTGTTGTGCAATACCACAGAGGTCAGAAGAGGGCATTGGATTCCCCTGGAACTGGAGTTAAGGACAATTCGTAGCCACCATGTGGGTGTTGGGAATCGAACCTGGATCCTCTGAAAGAGCAGTCGGTGCTCTTAACTCTGAACCATCTCTCCAGCCCCATGTGCATAGTATTTTCTTCTACTTTTCTGGTTAGCCCAAATGCTGCCTGAAGATGAGGCTACTGCTGTGAATTTAATAAGAGAGATTCAATATTACATAGAAATCTATACTCTTTGTTCATGTAGGTTAATAATTTGATAGCATAGTGGCCTGAGCAAAGACAAAAATAAATATAGACTTATGTTTCACCGACTACTCTACATTGTGTGTTTTGGTGGTATAGTAGTGAGCATAGCTGCCTTTAAAATACTTTACATCAAAATATGATTATATTCATTAGAAAAGCTGGAACATTTAGGGTATTATTTTTTATTTATTATTTTTATTTTATGTGTATGTGTGTATTGCCTGCATATAGGTAAGTCATGTACCCATGTTGTGCAATGTCCGCAGAGGACAGAGAGGCTGTCCAATCCCCTGGAACTGGAGTTACGGACCATGTCGGTGCTGAGATTTGAACCCTGGTCTTTTGCAAAAATAGTCAGGGTTCTTAACTGCTGAGCTCTCTCTCCAGCCCCTTAGGGCATTATTTTTATATTTAATGAAACACAGTTTTTGAGAATGCAGGCATTCACTGGTTCTTAAAATGAGGAATAATCATATATTATTAATACTGTTTTCTGCACTTGAAGAGGGTAT